GCCCCATGTACTTCTACGAGCACGGCCAACACGAGTTCAAGGTTATTCTTCAATAATATTTCGGAGCGGGGGGGCTGCCGCGAGGCCCTGCATGAGAGGGCAGGCAAGACAATATGATATCATCGGTTTCACAGATACACATCAGATAGGACACCGTCTACAGGAGGCGAGGTCCGACCTGGGCCGAGACGGATGGAAGCTTACAGCAACAGAGGCGACGTTGACTGGCAGATCACCCGAGGGCACGTCAGGCGGCGAGTGGATCATTTCGCAGAAGCGGTTGGCGACCACTTCCTTCGAGCATAGACGAGAGGCTGAGCGATCACGCACAGGGCGCGATTGTTTTCAAGGAGTTGCCCCCCTTCTATGGCACACCCGCATGGGCAATGTCGTTGCGGCGGCGTGCCACCTTCTCCCAGGGCGCAAGTTTCGTGGCCCGAACGAGAAGACCCTGATCAGATTGGCGGCATTCCTCAGCCTGGTAAAGGAGTCCTGGTTGGTGATGGGCGACTGGAATATGCATCCCTCGGAGTGGTCTAGGGCAACCTGGCTAGAGAAGCTGGACGCACTGGCCACCCCCCCTCCGATGGCGAAGTGACGCGTCATAGGGGTCGAGGCGCACTCATCGATTGCGTGATCGCGAAGCGGTGAATATCTTCTACCATGAAGCTATCCATTGTGCCTGAGGTGCCATGGAAGACCCATGCGGGCATGGTCTTAGAGGTCATGTACGCGAAGTTGGGTTGGTGGCACAGAGCGCTGGACATAGCGAAGGAGCTCCCAACGGTGAAGAGACCCACCATATTGCCCGACCCACAAAGCAAGAGGCATAGGAAGTTGGCGGAAGCTCGGGCACGCAGACAGCAGCAACTGGATGATCAGTTCCAGGAGGCGCTTGAGAACTTGCAGCTCCAGCAGGAGGACAGCATCGGGGAGGGGAGTGTCCCATTCAGCATATCCCACAAGGTCTGGGGGCAGGCTCGGATGCTGGAGAAGACGCAGGACTCATGCCTGGGAGAAAATCGGGAACTCTTCCCGCATTTCCTCCAGGACAGGGACATACCAGTCAGGGGCAGGCTGGCTTCCAGCTACGCGAGTTGGGTGACGACGCTGGAGGAGGCCACCATCATCACACACTAGCTCGATCAGCAGGAGGCCGACAAGTTCAGGGGCAGAGCCAAGGGCTTTGCGTTCAAGTGGGAGCGGACGCGGGCCACTCCCGATCGCCCGCATCTACACGAGCCAGTGGCGGAGTGGTGGAATATTTGCAGTACTCTGGTCAATCGAGCTGGAGTGTTACGGCGGTCACAACGAATCTCCGATTTACAGGTGGTCTTCAACAAGATAGAAGGCCTGTTGAGCATCAATAACGTTACGGACATGTTTACGTTTTTTCACGACGAGGATAAGTTCAAGTGCTGGTTGGGCATGGTGACCGAGATTTCAGAGTTGGATGACACGGGCTTCTCGGATTTGCAGCAGATGACAAATCAGTTCCTCAGCCGAGCTATTGGACGGTCCCTAGCTAAAACGAGTAAGAGCTTCCAACAGTGGGTGATCCGCATGCGGAAATCGACCCCAGGAGTTATCCACAGGTATACGCGAGGTGTGCTGGACAAGGCCGACGAGATCATTGGCACGGATCGCGTCTTTGGCTCTCCCAGCGATATCATGGATCACCGTGCTGACAGATAGCAGAAGGTGTGGAGCAGTGACAACTTCAGTGCTGACAAGTTAAGCTCCGGGTTGAGCTACCTCTGTCAGAGATCATCTCAGCAGGACAGCGAGCCGAGTACGACGGACCACATTTGCCAGGCGGCATCCAGCATGAACGCGAAGAAATCGAAGGGCATCGATGCTATGGGTCCAGTGGAGGTTCAGCGACTACCACTATCGGGCGTACAGCAGCTGGGGCGATTGCTCAATCAGATCGAGGAGATCGGGATGTGGCCTCCGCAGGTCAATCTCGTCACCGGAGCGATCGCCCCCAAGCCGAGAGGGGGAGATATAGTTTTAGGACTGTATCGTTTCTGGTCAAGCTCTGGGCAAATTTACGCAGTGCGGCTACATTGCAATGGACCTCCGAGGCGGACGAGCATTGGGACACGGCGGTCCGTGGGTCCTCGGCACTAAGCGGCGTTGGTTCGAGGGTTGTTAGACGAGTCTGCACGAGAGCTCCGCATCTCTCCTGCTACATTATTGTTGGACATTGATTCTTTTTTACGACAGTTTGGACATCGCTAAGTTGTGTGCTGCGGCCCTCACACAAGGATTCCCCGCCAAGGTACTGCTCATGGAGCTCCAGATATGTATTGCGCCGAGGGTGCTGAAAGATCGCAGTTGGGTATCGCACACAATACAGGCGCAGCGGGGTATCGTGGCAGGTTCGCTGAACGGTGGTAGAATGGCTAAAGCTTTCCTAGGCCGTAGTTATCATGGAGAGGGTTCACCAGCAGTACGGCATGCAGATCCTTTTGAGAACATTCGTTGACGACGCGGTGATTCGTGTGGAAGGTACTGCGAAGCAAACCACATCCTTGACGAGTGAATCGGGCGCCATGGTCTGCGATCAGCTACGTCAAGCGGGCTTAGTCATCAGTGAGAAGACCCCGGTGGTAGCTTCGGACAACGTAATCTTGAGTGATGTCGCAACGGGCCTACGTCGACTGGGAGTACCAGTCACTCCCTCGCAGGATGTGGTCGACCTTGGCATGGGCACCAATGCAGGGCGACGACGCACCTGCATCAAAGCGAATGAGAGAAGGAAGAAGGCAGCTAAACGAACATGGGCGATCAAGAGGATGAGAAGGCACGCAAAGCGACGAGGCATTACAACAGCGCTATGGACTGCAGGGTCTCGACCACAGGGTACATACGCTCATCAGGCGTTTGGGGTTGCAGAACACGTTATGACAAATTTAAGGAGACAGGCAGCGCAATGTTCGGTCGGTGCTGGACCCGGACGCTGCTTGACTACGGCATTGGCGATGGTGTACGACAAGAAAGATCCAGCCAAGTCAGTGAGACTCGAGCATTTCCACATGTGGCTGAAGATGTGGCGTGAGCATCCTGAACTGCATGCGCGTGTGGCGACGGTTTGGGTCAGCATCCGCAGGAGGTTGCTACTGGCTGGATCACGCAGATTGAGATTAGTGAGAGGCCCTATCGGAGCGACGATTTCCACGCCGATGGATATTGGATGGGCCCCACACTCGCCGATGCAATGGGAGTCGGCAAATGAAACATGGACTATTCCTTCTTACGCAGACGTCGAGTACGAGCAGTTCCACAGCGACTTCACGGACATCCTGAGGGACATCGAGGACACCATAGATAGACAACTATGGAGTGTAGCTTCGAGGCACGACAACGGCAGCGACCTGTGCGAGGGGGCTGACACGTACCAGGTCTCCAGGGAGCTGCGCGCGCTCAGGTGCGACGACGGCTCCGACGACTGGGCGCTGAACGTGGTTGTGACGACAAGGGGCCAGTGGCCCCGTGAGAGGTTGCAACAGGCGGGGTACAATATACCCAGCCTTTTCTGTCCTAGGTGCCAACAGGAGCCTGAGAGTCTGTTTCACCGTATTTGGGAATGCGAGGCCAATGTTGGCCACCCAGATTTCACGAAATCCGATTCGTTGATCCCCCGGGCTAGAGCGAATCACGAGAGTTCGCCGAGTTTCTGGCTCCGCGGGGTCCCTGGTCGGGCTGAAACGGTCCCGACCTTCTCCGACGACCCTCCCATTGTGTTTCGCTTCGGCTTGATCCAAGACATACCCAGAGACGCCGAGGGTTTCGATACCGTGTTCGGGGACGGTTCGGGTGGGAGGTTCTCTGACGACCCTCGGCGTCGGCGGGTTGGTTCTGGGGTAGTCGCGCTGGCCCCAGAAGGCCAGTTCTGGAAATCGGTCTGGGGCGCCGGGGCTACCCTACAGGGGAAGCGACAGAGTGTTCCTCGTGCTGAGATCACCGCGTTTGCGATCGCGGCGGAGGAAGTCCCAGGCCGACTCTGTTTTATCACAGATCACCAGCCACTGTTGAGGTCCTGGGCCAAAGGTCGGTCTGTTGGTTTTGAGGCCCTTGAGGGGGGGGTGTAATGCGGACCTTTGGGCCAGGATCGCCGCTGCGTTCCGTGCCAGAGCGCCCGAGGACGTTGTGCTCAAATGGGTGGCCTCCCACCAAGAGGAGTCCACACGCCACAGGGATCTGACGTTCCTGCGCTTCGGAAACGAATGTGCCGATGCGCTTGCAGGGGCGATGGCTGAAAAGGCTTGGTCAGAATTCGTGTTAGCTGACCCTCCGACCGACCGAAGGGATGCGGAGTTGTTTTTGATCCGTCGGCGCGCTAGGAGGGCCTTGGAGCTTTCCATGGTTGCAGACCCGTGGACCCACGAGCGCCTCACGGCGCAGTCTCAAAAACCGCTCCCTAGGTTGGCGAGAGAGCTTAGGGCCTCCGAGCATCGGTGGTGTCGCGTGGGTGCTAAGTATTATTGTGCTAAGTGTTCGAATCAGGATTCGCTTTTTCCAGCTTGTGAGACTCTGTGTGGGTCGAGGGGTCGTCAGGAATTCGAACCCATCCGAGGGAGATGTATTATTGGAGGCAAAGAGCTCCATCCGTCGCACACACTGCAGTACTGGAGTTCGTACTGCCTCACCTGTTGTAGCACTTGCGGTTTTAGTTGCACCACCGACCCCCGACAGCTCTTGAAAGTATGCAAGCTCACCCCCAAAGGGAAGCAGAATCTGGCAAGGATCTTAGCGGGTAAGTACCCCCACCCGTCGGGGCCCCCGAAAGCTGTGCGAGAAGCGTTGCACAGCCGTTTTCAGCAGTAATCTAGCCAATGCGGGACCTTCGACGTCCCTTTCCTGGAATCTCCTGGGATGTCCTCCTCCTCTTCCTCCTCCTCCTCTTCCGCCTCCTCCTCCTCCTCCTCCTCCTCCTCCTCCTCCTCCTCCCCCTCCTCCCGCCCGCCCGCCCGCCCGCCCGCCCGCCTTCCCTC